TGATCAGCGCAAGCCTGGGAGAGAGGGGTGAGGAGGAGGAATGCGGCGTGCTTGGGAAAGAGGCGGGGCCAGGGCGGGGATTTGGGGAGGGATCCAATGGGGCAGGGACAGGGCGGGGGCAGGGCGGAGTAGGGGCGGGGGGCACGAGACAATTCACGTCCCGGCGTGGGGCCCCGCACCTGCTAATGCCGGCCCTGGGGGGGAGGGGCAGGGGATAGGAGTGTGTGTCACCTCTCCCTGTGCGGGCGCGGGGTAGGGATGTGTGTCACCTCTCTCCCTGTGAACTCTAAAGCCTTAAAGATAAGAAGGTAAATAAAAAGAATCCACCTACCCAGTATTTCTTTTTGCCGGGGGCTCAGGCAACTTGACGTTAATTTGAACGTTTGTACTGCACAGTTCTGACCTATTGCCGTTGAACTCGCTTGAATACGAGTAATTTTACCGGGTGTCCCATATTGAGCACAGGGAAATTTGGTCCCCCAGCTCCTGCGCCACATTTCAAACAGTTGGGCCTAGAGATCACCAGCAACGCTGAGCCCCTGCAGCTCAGGGGAAGCTCAGCATCTCTGCCTCTGGATGCCTGACGTTAGGCAGCCCAGTGTGAAGACAGCGACCTGTGTGAGAGATGGGGGGCTTGTTTCCTACACACACAGTTAAAATCAGCCTATTCCGCCCCCTTCCTGTACTTCACACCCTGGTCTGTGTCTTCCGGCTCCTCTTGGGTTCTGTGTAGGACTCTGCCTGCTCAGGGAGCTGCGCAGCTGGGTTCGATGGCCCCCAGATTAGAGCCCTGTTCCAGCAGCAGGGCCGGGAGCCCTGCCCCACCTCATGTCCTCTCGGAGGCCTGAGGCGTGTGCTAGTCCAGTGGGTCTCTGGCGCTCTGCTGGGTTGGGCTCTCTGGTTCTCACCTTCTCCTGGCGCGAGGTCAGATACAGCAGCTCTGTCTGTCGGAACTGCCGACACACTTGCAGCCCCTCCTGCCAGGTGCTGCCGGCCAAGGACGAGTCCCAGTAGTAGCAGTTACCATTCCAGTGTCTCCAGCCAGGCTCCGTGGGGCAGCGGCTCCAGGGAACTGTCTCAGAAACAAGGGCTCCGGATCATCTCCGTGACTGAGAGAGTCACTCACGGAACAGCACTGGAGTGTCCGAGCAGGCACAGCACTCAGCAGGGGGGGCCAGGGGGGAGGGAGGAAATGATCAGGAAGAACCACAGAACCCCCCACTCAGTCCAAACCCAAACATGACCCATCTCTGGGCCCAGCCTGCCGCTCAGGGCAGACACGCACACACGCGTCCCTGGGCTAATGGCCATGCAGTCCTTACCCACGCTCACCCCTTTGGTCTTTTCAGCCCGAGCTCACGTTCCCACTTTACGTTTTCTATTTACTTACCCAGATGGGGGCTGGGCTATAGCGCACCATGCTATTCTAGCACAGTCCCACAAACACGCCATGGCAAACAGCATGGACTGGGCTGGGCTGTCTGCGCCACAGGGGCAGGGCCGGGCCAGGCTGCGTCTGCCACAGGGGGCTAGGCTGGGCTGGGCTGCGGTTGCCACGGCGTGCCGGGCTGGGCTAGGACCCTAGCCTACTTTCTCAGTATTCAACCCTGACCTGCTTTGCTTCTTGCTTCCTGCCACTGTCTAAGCTGTGTCTGCTCTCTCACTTGTCCTGCTCCGGGGACCTGTGCCCATGTACCCAGAGCAGCGGGGGCCCCTGGCTCGTAAGCACACACTGGAGGTGCTCACCAAGCGTGGCGTGAGGTGTCCCTCTGCCACAGACTCCTGTCGTCCCTCTCGGGAAGTGAGCTCCACCCCTGGGGGCACCTCACTGAGCTGAGATCTTCCCACAGTTGGAACTGAACTTTCCTTGGCCCAGGCTTTGTCTGAGCCCGCAGGTGGGCAGCTGGTTGTCAGAGGTCCCTGCCCCCAGCCCTGCCTCTGGCAGAGCATTGGAAACCAAAACAGGCAACTCCAGTGAGCAACTTGCCAAGGAGCCAGAAGGAAGAGGGAACTGCCACCCCTGCCAGCGCTCTTCAGCCCCAGTAGCACCAGTCAGCCCGCAAACAGGGACCCCTGGCCCAGCAGCAGTGTGCAGCATCTTCCCCAGGTGAAGGTCCCGTAGCCAGCACAGGCCTCTGGCCAGACCCAGGTGCCCACTGTGGGATTAGCCTGTAAGAACTGCCAGCATTCATGTCATCACGCCAGGGCAGCTAGGGCTGCAGTATGGGAGTCAGGACATCTGTACCCCCGGCCGGCCATGCAGTAGCCCACAGGCCATGCTCTGAGCACAATGAACTTTTACCATGCGGGAGCCTTCAGCCCATTCCCTGACAGGGGCTGGGGCGCTCCCCCAGCCCAGCCCAGCCCAAGGGGCTGGGGTGCTCCCCCCCCATCCACAGAGCCAGCACTGGAGACTGGGGAGCTCCCCCCCCCGGCCCTTGGGGCTGGCACAGGAGACGAGGAGCTTCTCCCCGCCCGCCCCGCCCTCGGGTCTGGCACAGGAGACCAGGCATGCAGTATTTTCACAGCAGGTTTGGTAGCTGCTGAACGGTGAGCGTTACTGAGTCTGGCTCAGGGCTGCCCGGCTCCCTGGTCAGTGCCTGGTCCGTGTGTGGTGTCCCAGGCCGTCCCGAGGGTCTCAGCACTGAATTCTCCCTTGGGGCAGCCTGGCAGGTACGTACCCTCCGCTCCTTCGCAGACCCAGGGCTTGAGTCCTGAACAGTTGGACACGGTAAGGCCAGAATCCCCCGGGGCTCCGATGCTCAGGCAGCCTCCCGGAAGGAGCGGCACATCGGCCAGCCTGAGGCAGAAACACAGGACGGTCTCTCCAGCAGCAGCCAGGGCCTTGCAACACAGGACAATGTGCAGGGCCCCTGCAGCTCACACCTCAGGCCAGGGGAACGCTCAGGAACCCCTCCCGTGGAAAGGGCCACAGCCTTAGCCCACTGGAGAGAGACGGGTACGGTGGGCACCTCCACCTGGGCAGGATGCACCACACTTTGGGCCTACTGATGGGGGCAAGCAGCATGGAGGAGGGTTCAGGAGGTACCTTAGTCCCTGAAGAATGGAGAAGGGGAGAAACGCCCCAGGCACCCGTCCCCACGGGTGGGGTGGGGTGGGGAGGGGGAGAAACGCCCCAGGCATCTGGCCGCACGGGCAGGGCGGGGAGGGGGAGAAACGCCCCAGGCACCTGGCCCCACGGGCAGGGCGGGGAGGGCGAGAAATGCCCCAGGCACCTGGCCCCACGGGCAGGGCGGGGAGGGGGAGAAACGCCCCAGGCGCCCAGCCCCACAGGTGAGGGAGCAAAGGGGGATGCTACCCCATTTGCCTGATCCCCCAGAGGAGTGCTGGACTCACCTACAGTCCCTCACAGTGCCCCGTACACAGGCCGTGCCAGCCGCTCTGTCTGCGAGGGTGGGCAGGTGAGTAGGACTGGCCGGAGGGAGGCCCAGGTCTCATTGCTGCCCGACCAGGCACAGCTAGGGAGTGAGCACTGCCCCCTGAGCAGTAGCAGCCCCAGGTATTACAGCCCCAAGGACAGCAGGCTGCGCTGAGCAGCTGGAGGGCAAACCCACTGTCTGGGTGTGGGTATCCCCAGCACTCCCCTAGCAGGCCCATCTGGCACCATCAGCTACACGCTCACCAGGGGGCAGCACCATCTGCGTGCTGAGCCACTGCCCACGTCCAGCTGCCGTCGCCATCTAGGTCATTCAGCCCAGTCCAGCTGTCCCTCTGCACCATGGCTGTCACCCAGGCCTGTGGGGAGTCAGGACCTGGGTCAGTGCAGGGCACATCTCCGCTCTCTGACTCAGCAGAGCTTAGGGGGATCTGGGGGGTGGTAAGTAGCCAAGGGCAGCTCAGAAGGAAGGAGACGTGTAGGGCGAGTCCTGGGGCAGGAGGCAGGGGGTTCTATTAGCCAGGAGGAGCTCACCCTGCCCCATGGCCCCATGGCAAGCCGGCATTCTGCTACCCTGCGCACATCCTGGGGGAGGATGCAGGGCACACGGAGTGTATCCAGACTTCCCATCCCGCCACTCAGTGACTGGAAAGGGGACAGCACAGGGAAGTGGCTGCATGTGTCCCTCTAGAGAGGGGACTACCCCCGGGAGCCCTCCCCATGGGGAGGGGTGCTCACTCTGCCCACTGCACTTGCTGGGCACATTGCTGCTATCCCGTCCCCCTTCCCTCCGAGCCAGCTCCAGCCAGGACATGCCCCATGTCACCCACAGGGTAGCGCCCAGCAGCCAGAGGCCATGGGCCCCTGTGCACGGGAAGGATGCGCTCAGCCTCACAAGGAGGACAAGCCGAGAGCCAGAGGGGGAAGCCCCTCCGGGCCCCTCCCGCCCCGTGGGCAGGGAGCAGGGGTGTGGCTGGGACTCTGGAGAGCCCCGTCCTACAGCGGCTTCTTCCCACCCAGCTGCCCTCTCACCCCTTCCCTGTGCTGCTTCCCCACCCACAGGCACAGCTGCCCTGGCAGGGTAATGCAAGGCGGCTCCGGGGCGTTTCAGTGACTGTCAGTGAGCAGAACCTGGGGAAAGGAGACCTGGGCCCAGGAGTCGCCTTCCTTGACACAGACAGACAGACAGACAGACAGACAGACAGACAGACAGACAGAGACAGACAGACAGACAGACAGACAGACAGACAGAGCAGCCAGGGGTTGGAGTTAGGAAGGCTCCTTGGCTTCCTCCCTGCTTCCTAATCTGTTCTGCTCAGGGAGGGGCCCAGGCGTCCTGGCACAGCCCCCGTACCGTCTCCTCCAGGCTGTCGAGAGCCAGCAGCCCCATGCCTTCTCCAGAGGCACTGCAGGCTGCCTCCGCTTGCTGCCACGTCTCGGCATCGCTCTCCTCCACGTAGTAACAGTGTCCGTCCCAGTACCACCAGCCAGCTCCTCCAGGGCACCTCCCGCTCACGAGACCTGGTGAGGCAACAAGGAGACAGCCCTCACTCATCACCAGGGACATGCCCTTTGGCCAGGGCCTGCGGCCCTCGCCCACTGACTTGGCAGGGCCTCCCCATATACCACAGTCACACTGGGGGATCTCTGCGCTGTCAGGAGACAAAGAAACCAAGCAATCCGATCGCTGTGTTGGGGCCTGGCCAGGCTGGCCTGTGGAAAGCTGGAAAGGAGGCTGGGGTGACAGAAACCATCCTGAACAGAGACTGGATCTTGCTGGGGTACGGTTTAGACATTGAGATGCGCATTGTCACTTGTATGTGCTTGTAACCGTCTCTGCCTTTATCCCTTTTCCTTGGTATCACCTGCCCGGGCTCTTTGGTTAATAAACTTGTTTCACTTTGACTATGAACCAGGTCAGTGCTGGGCTTGAGGGGAAGGGTGTATTTACCCAGGTACATTAATAAGCTGTGGCGCAGTGACTAACAGAGCAGCGAAGTTAATACTAAATAAAGGTGTAGTGTAGAGCGATCTGTATTGTTGAGAGAACCGGAAGTTCAAAGG